ACAGACAAATCAAACCTGCAAGTGAAAATATTTCAGGAAAAAATTAAGAAAACAAACGACGGTTATTTATAAAACACGACGTATGATAACATTTCACACGATGCAATAACATAACATCAGACGTAATAAATCTTTAAAACGATGGTACTTAAAAAATGACGTGGTTAATACGTTAAAGCGACATCAATATTAAACCACCGACGTCTTATAATATAATTACAAAAAGCAGAGAAGTGATTCCAGATTCAAACATTCATGTGAAAATATTTTAGATTTTCATTTCAAACAACGACGTTTTAAAAAAAATTTGGATGTAGTACTTCTATTCACACAACGTAACAATATAACAGAAGACGTAATAAGACTTTATTACGGCAATATTTATATTTCGTTGTGATATTGAAATTCAAACGACGTTAATATTAATATAACGTCGTGGTATGAAAATTCACACGACGTGAATAATAAGATACCGTCATTTATATAAGATGGAAAACAAAAACAGTGAAGTTGTTCCAAACCCTTCTTTCTTTGTCTTTGTATTTTATCAAATTAGGAAACGCAAAAACCATGGTTCAGAGAAATCAAACAAAAAAATGACGGTCATTTTAAAAACAACTTAGAACAACTTTCAGACGACGCTAGGACGACTGACGAACTGTCGTGGTCTATAAATCTAACCACGTAAATAAGAAGCTACCGTCGTCTTATTTAGTTGAAGTAGAATAAACAAAGTTGTGTTCAAAGTTGGAAACTTTCCCTCTTTGTCTGTATATTTTATCAAACTTGGAAAGAATTAAAATGATTTTGGCCAAAAAAAAAGGTAAAAAGATTTTCAAAACAAAAACCGTAAGAGCATGCAAAACAGCAACAAAAATAGTGAGAAATGCTTACCTTTTGTGTGCAATGAAAGCTTTCTCTCGGAGTTTGATGTTTAACCTCAGAGACGACGATGAAGACGACAGGAAGACAATGAGATACACCGACAGTGCTCTGAGAAGGAAAAAAGAAGAAAAGTTTTCTCTCGGAGATTGAAATTTTTTCTCGGGTTTGGAAATAGTGCAAGTCAGGTAGATGAAAAGTTGAATATATTCACATACCGTTTCATAAAACGACGCGATTAATAGAAAGTGCCCTTGTATTATATATTAGACGTCGGTATATGTTTCCACCACCCTAGTAAATTTTTTTAACGACCCTTGGTTTTAATAAAATGCCGTGTTTATATATAATTCCATGACGATATTATCTTCAATGTCGGTTTTTTCATATAGCGTTGTGGTTAATTATGTTTATATGACCTCACTTTATTGTTAACAGACGTCTATGTTTACTTTTAAATAAGTAATATTATAAGTTACCATGTCGTTTTTTATATTACACCGACGTGGTTTTCAAACACCTCGTTGACTTAATTTTAATAACCAACGTTGTTTGTATGTTTAATACGTCCTACTTTTTTACAGAACCGAAGTTGATTCGTTATGAAACGACGTTATTTTAAATGTAACCGACGTGGGGATGAAATTTTTTGTATAAATTGAGTTTTTTTCCATGATTTCTTTCAGTTTCAGTTTTCAATTAGGGTTCCAATTTCTTCTTGCCCTCTGTCTCACCTCTTAGGAGGCAATTGTTTTGGATGTTGATGTGTGTGTATTTGTGTCACAAATACACATACATCATCAATCTCTAAAATATTGTCTCTCTGAATGCAAATCTGTGACTGCCGTCGTCAAATTTTAGAGGCAATTGCTTGGATGTTGATGTGTGTGTGCGTTTGTGTAGATACACAAACGCACACACATCATCAACTTCCAAAAAATTGCCTTTCTAAATGCAAATCTGTGGCTGCCGTCGTCAAATTTTAGAGGCAAATTTTTGGATGTTGATGTGTATGTGTCTTTGTGTGTCTCAAAGACATGAAGACACATGCATCATCAACCTCTAAAATATTGCCTTTTTGTGGTCCGATTATGATGAGGAACAGAGTTCCATCTGGTAAGATTTCGTAACACTTGAGATCTCAGATCTAATTCTGTCTGCTGTTTTCTATATAAACCGTCGTGGTTATTCTCAATTCTTGACATTAAGTTGATCCACAGACGTAGGAGGACAAAATTCAAGAATAAATAAATAAATAAAATTACAATTAAGACGACGATTTACATATAAGGTTGGATGTATAAAGTTAATAAATACAACGGTAATTTTAACTTCACGACGTATATCTTGGATCTCAGAAAAATCTATTCTGTCGACGGTTTTCTATATAAACCATCGTGGTTATTCTCAATCCTTGTCATTAAGTTGGTCTACCATCGTAGGATACCAAAATCCAAGAAATAAATAGTAAAAAATAATGTAATTAAGACGACCGTTTAGGTATAAGGGTAGACGTATAAAGTGAATAAATACGACGGTAATTTTAACTTCACGACGTAGTAAATTTTATTACACGGCATTAATTGAACAAAGCAACGTGGTTAGAGTTAAAGATACCATACCGTTGTAATATGGAACATGAAATAAGTCGATAAAATTATATTTTACGTCATTGTACATGTATTTAAGGCGGTAGTATTTTGTAATATACCGCCGTGGATTCTTTTGAAATTATGTGACGCCGGATACGAAAACTTGGTCGTGGTTATTTCGGAGAAAAGACGGCGGCTGTTTCTTTAAATCATCGTCTTTACTTTCTACATCGGTGGATTCATACCTTCTGCTGTTGTTTGTTTGCTTTGAGTTTACTATATAGAAAACCTTTTTCAATAAGACGTCGCTTTTTAAAATAGGTGTGTCGTGTTTTAAAAACAACCATTGGATTCCCCATTTTTTAGGTGTTTAAGTTATTCTTACACGGCAGTTTTATAAAACCATTGTCTTTTAAAAAACAACGACGGCTTTCCGTTAAACTATCGTTTTTTTTTTTTTTTGTCGTCTTTTTTACTTTTTGTAGTAGTGAAAGTAACACTTCACCCAAAACACCGTTACTTCTCAATTTGGTGTGCCACAACTCACAGTTGACTCATATTTTTTCAATCCCGAACATAAAGTTCACTATGTTTTCTAGGGTTACGAATTTATGAAACATGTGGATCTTGATTGCAAGAGTGAAATTACAGAGCCTATGAATGTTGTGAACTACATGGTCATGAACCAATTGAATGACTCTGTTTGTACTTGAAGTGGGCTTTGTGGGTTTTCAATCGTGGATACCAACAACACCGCAGATTCCTGAACCCAAATGCACGAAAGGTTTGCTTGTTTCTTTGTCTTATTTTGTTGCCATTATTGCTAGGTCAGAGTCCATTGGTTTTGTTCATAAGATTAATAGGTTTTAATCTTTGAAGAATTGGGTTTGGGGGCTTAATGCTTCTAGTGTTGTGCAAGAGTCCATAGCGCAACATGCACTCCAACTATTTGCTAAAATGTGGAGCTCAGTTGGGTTATGCAATGGGGCTGTAATGTAATTCTTGATTTTGATCTTGGCTACCACATGGGCATTCGAGACAAAGGTAGTGGTGAGTTTCTCAAGAGTTGCTTCATTGGAGGACTACTGACATGCTTAGTCATTGCTTTGACACCAAAACATGCCAAATTTTAGTCTTTTTTGCGGTTGTGTTGAGTAGTCTAGCTTATCTATTAGATAACTTGTCCCTTGTTTTGTAATAAATAGATGCAAGACCAAATTTCTGAATTTTTCATGTATCTCATGGTGCCAAATTTTATTTCATGGTCCAAATTTAATTTAATTTAATTTTTCCAACAATTGGATGTTTGAAGAATGTATGCATTATTTTTGTCATCTCTTGGAACGAAAAACATATTATATTATTCGTTTAAGTGTAAAGTTCTATTTTATGAGACTTGAGATGTTTATGTGTACTTGCAGTCTTGAGAGATTTTCCCTTGTTTGGAGGTCAAAACAACTTGGGTAGGCAGCCATGCATAATTTCAGAGTTTAAGCTGATGGTGTAATCATAGTTGGTTAGCTTAGCTGCTTGCTTCAGTGTAAAGGCCATTTTTTGTTGGATGCTGGAAGTGCCTCTTATAATTGGCTAAGCAGCAGGATGTGGTGTCTATGTCTACATGAGTTTGTTGATTTTGATTGTTTGGTCTCTTACAATCCGGATTCAGGTATTTTGATTGTTTGGTATCCTGACCGAAGATCAAAGCTATAAGAAGTAAAGTTTTATCTTGTTATGTTCAGTATTCAATTACTTTCCATGGACGGTCATCATTGGCTAGGTTATTTCTAATTTATATTGTTAGCTTTGCCTGATGAAATGTAATCACATACTTAAGAAAGATTTTTATTTTATTTTATTTTATTTTCACTTTGGTAGGTGGCTTTTTGTGATTGAAGAAGACATCAAGGGCTTACATTGCTTGCACTTATATTTTGTCAATGAATGAAACTTTTGGATCATGACTTCTGAAGAGAACTAGCAAAATACTAGATTTATGCTAGTTACAATTTGGCCCAAGAATTAGTAGTTTGTATGGACAAATGAGAGTAAATTTATGTATTCCACTTGAAATGAAATTTTCGTTCATGGGTATTGATTTTTATTATTTATTCTTGAATGGGTGTTGAAATTTACATATAGTGGCATTCATAAATTGCTATGAGTGGGCTTGATGGCATTTTTGGAATGCTCTCTTTGTTGATTTGTTATGACTTTTTGGAGAAATTCTGACTTTGACATTTACTTGTAAATTTGGTATCTAGAAAATATGTTCATAGTTTTAAGATCTTATTAAATTACATTTAATTATCTAAAAATCTTTAAATTTAAATATTTAAATAATTATTTTTTAGTCTGACACAACACCAAACATAAGTCTTCACTATTTTTACAATCCAGCTTCTTAGTCTGACGCAACACCAAACATAGGTCAATACTAATCCAGCTTAGGCCAATCCAAACTAATCCAAGATAGTCTCAGGATTTAGTCCAGCCCATAACAGTCCGATGTACCAAACGACCCTTAACTGTTTTAAACTCATGGCCAATAAAGATTATCAAACATTTGCAATACAAAAGCTTAGTGCTTGATCTAATGGGAGAATGTTATATTCATATTTAGATCGGTGCACTAGATACTAAGTTATATCCCAAAACCTTGTGAAATAAGGAAAGTTTTGAAGCCAATTAAAGGAGTCCTATTTATTTCCTTTTGCGTGAACCGTTGCTTGATGGGCTTAGAGTGTTAGTCAAGTTGGCCCTTGGTGATGAGTAGAGATGACTTGACCTAGCCCTATATAAGCTTAAGACTCTGCTCTTGCCAGACACATTCTCTAAACCTAATCTCATCATAAAGAGAGAGCTGAAATAGTTTATGAGAGAGAGCAGAAGTCTTGAGTCGTTCGTGTCTTTTGCCAGAGGAGTTGTTGCTGCGATTGTGTGAAAACCTGAAATGCAGTCGCACTGCCCTATCACTTTGCATCCCCCATACCATGAACATATAAAAAACAATAAAAGAAGGAAATCTAAAAATTCAAACTTTTATAAATACCCAGAATGTCGTTCTCTCCTCTGATATGTTCTCACTGAGTTTTCACAGAAATCTCCACTGAAAGCAAGCAGAAAAGTTCCTCATCAGCTAGTGAAGAGAACTAAAACGAAAGAAGATGGACTGTTAGGACTTGCTTATGTCTATCTACGTAATCACAGAATGGTAATACTTAGAAAAATAAGCGTTTTTCAATGCTAACAGAAAATAGAAAAAACGAAGAGAAAATGAACTACAAATAGAGAGAGTAATTTTTCTTCAGGAAGATCAAACAATACATGTTTAGAGAGTAAGATCATCTGAATACTAGTTTTCTTACTATAACTAAGATGAAGCTAAACCCATCACCACTAGAGCATGTAACAAATTACTTCCATAAGAATGAAGCCAAACATACTTGCTCGACAAAATTAATTTGCTTCAGCAGAAATGAAGCACCTATGATACGTTTTTAAGAGAAATCAATGCTTCAATTATGGAAAAGAAAACAGTTCAATTTGAAAGCTTTATATAAGAAAGAAAAAGGAAAGATATAATTCTACAGGAACATTTACTGCACCAGTAGCCCGTATTATCATACATATCCTCAATCTAGAAAATTTCTATGTTTGACAAATTTTCAAGGAAGCTACTTGAATAGAACACTTAGATTTGATAAGTCTTATATTCATTTCCACTAAGGATATAAATTAAGAGGGCTTACCGTATTTAGTTATTGAAATTTGAAAATGCTAGCCCCCTAACCTCGGTAGAGCTATTATGCTCTGTTAGACAGGGATTTCAACTCTGTTATCCTAAGGCTCCAATTGGACGGAGTAATTTGAAGAAAGGATTCGGATTTGACAAAAAGGCTAAATACAAAAACTAGAAAAGATTGAATAAATTTGATATAACTAGATGTGATGCTTTCAAAATAAAATTGTCGATGGATGGGTCCTAAAAGTCTATAAATTGTCGATTTCATTTGGAATCACTCCATCCAAAAATCCTAATTGAAACCTAAGCGGGCCCCACGCCCCCCACACCTAAACCCCCCTCCCCACCCCACACACTTGTTTACGGGCAACAATCAATTAACAAAAGTATTCTCCAAACTATTGTGCATAAAAAACTACCACCCCCCAAACCTCCCCAAAAAAAAAAATCACAAACACTTGTTTATGGGCAACAATCAATTAACAAAAGTATTCTCCAAACTATTGTGCATAAAAAACTACCACCCCCCAAACCTCCCCAAAAAAAAAAATCACAAACACTTGTTTATGGGCAACAATCAATTAACAAAAGTATTCTTCAAACTATTGTGCATAAAAAATTACCAGAAAAGGAATTCCTCATAATTCAATTGCATAAATGTAGGAGTTTCAAGAAGAGACTTTTGGGATTGATTAATGTAGTACCTGAACAAGCAGTAAAAGAAGAGACTTTTGAGCAAGAAGAGCAGCCTCCACCTATTAAAGATTCAAGCAAACAGCAAATAATGCCCTTAAAATCATCAGCACTGTGGCAGAAACTCTGGATAGATAGTCTTAGTTTGAGACCTCATTGAATGATTGAACCAAGCACAAAATAATTTAGACTTTCTTGAATCTTTTGCTGATTGGTTCATTGTCGTCATCAGAGCTATCACTTCCTGGTTCATTGTCGTCATCAGAGCTACCTGTTGAGAGTTAAGCTACTTACTGAGCTTAATACAAACTGCAGATGACAATCCTGCAGATTAGTGCTGAGAAGATTGAAGAAATGAAGAACCTTCCTTTCTAGGAAGTAGCCGGTATCTGCTCTATTCTAATTTGGGATAATTCCTACAGCTGTCTTTTTTGTCTTTTTCTAAGCTGTACTGTGATAACAGATTCTAGCCTAGGTGTAAGAATCGTAGCCTCCAATCATTATGAATGGTAGGAGATGAGTCCTTGTATCCTAAAATTTAGGATCCTGGTTTTGGCAGCATATGTCATGTATTTGAGCATGCTTTGCTCAGTCTTGAATAGAGAAGAATACTGAACATTCATATACTCTCTGGTTTTTTCCTTTCCTCCTCTGCATAAACGTTTTTATACCAAAATCAACACTACCACTTCATGGATCATGGTTGTCATCACAGCTATCGCTTCCTGGTTTATCGGCCTCATCAGCGTGCTCACTTCCTGCATACCTTTTGTCATCATACCACTTCCACAGTCCACTACCAACTGGGCCTGCCTCTGGCAACAAACTGAAAATTTTTGTCTCGGCAAAACGAAAAAATCTTTTTCGGCAGAATTTTTGTCGCCAGAACTGGTTTCTCTTGGGGATTTTCAGTATTCCGCTGAATTCTTCCAAATCTCTCTTGTACACCAAACGTGCCCCACATTCCTTTATATTCGAGCTTGTTTTGAGCATGTTGCTCCCCATTTTGTTAAACAAAGATTCAAGTCGAACATAATGCGCTTCGAATGAAAACCGATGACTGCTTGAGGCATTCCAGAGGCTACGATGACTGCGAGGCAAATAGAAAACCCAAAGGTGTTGTGACCTAAGATACCCCACTCTGAAAATCTCAGACTCAATCGGAAAACATTTAATTTGGAAATAATCATATCCAACAAGGGCGGCTGGATTTTCCAAGTACTCAGAATCTTCAAAAACAACACATAAAGCAATCCCAAGCCAGTCGCTGCTACATGATGATTGTGGAGGTGAAGGTACAGGCAGCTCCACAGTTATTGAATCTCCCATACTTCGATTACTGAACCACTCTGGAATTTCACTTCCAGGCCATACAATACACTTACCTTCACTTCTTGGACGGATTATCTGTACCCAAAGAATTACCATATTATATTTATTTTTTATAGAAAATGAAAATCATGATATGTATTCATTCAACGAGAGAGAGAGAGAGAGAGAGAGTACCTCAGAGTTAAGGGCCAATCTCATTATCATTGCAAATATTCTATTAATCCAGCCTTCTTCTTCAACCAATCTCAAGCAATTTAGACAATTGAAAATAAAATCATACATATTGGCTCCCCTCAAATTTGATGGATCTGACAACCTCTTCAAGGAAGTACAATCATTTACATTTACGTATAAGAATTCGCTTGACGGGAGATCTGGCACTTGCTGAAGCCTTTCGCACAAACTCAAATCAAGATAACAAAGCTTAGAAAGGAATCTAATGCTCGCGGGAAGGCTAACGAAGTTGTTTCCACTAAGTATTAAATGTTCTAAAGAATAAAAGCAGCAGCCAATATAATCAGGAATGACTCCTTCACCAATATTACAATCACTTAGTTCTAAACTTGTCAAAGAGCATAAACGATTTAGAGAAGACAACACCAAACCCAAAGGGTCAGGTGCAGGGTCAGGGTGACTCTTTCTAATTCTAAACCACGCACTGCCATCCTTTGAAGTTGATGATCGAAGAAGGGATAGATATTTGGTATTTTTCATAACAACAAGCAGCTCTCTCATAGCACTTTCACTTAATTCAAGCTCCTCTAAACACTCCAACACCCCTGGCAGTTTCACAAGTTTTGAGGATCTTTGCATATAAAGTATTTGACCAGAGAGACCTTCGGGACTTTGGGGATTTTTGTATAAGGGCCCCCCAGAGTATAATATAGCGAGGCCAACCAGACCTTCAATTGATGAAGGAATTTTCTCAACAGCAGTACCTTTTAAAATGAGCTTGAACAAATTTTTCATATGTCCCTCAAATTCTGGAAGCCTTTTCACTTTTGAGCAGCCCCAAAGACTGAAATATTCAAGAGAATCCATTTCCACTTTACTTGGGAGACTCTTGATACTTTTACAGTCACTAAGGTCCAAACGTTTCAACCTTTTGAGAACTGCAATAGACGTGTGGACCTCAATTAAATTCGTACAAATTTTCAGCTTCAATTCCTCAAGATTAGGAACGAGTGTGAAATCTGGCGTACTGGTCAATTTATCAGAGTAACTAAGATCAATGTATTTCAACTTTGGGAAGTCCTGTACAGTACATAAAAGTTGTAACATGATTAGTATAATAAAAACCTTACAAACTAAACCAGTTACAATTATATTCAAAATACTTTAAAAAAAGAATTATAAAATGCTATATTTCCATAATCTTACCTTTGCTCCATCCCAAAGCTGGAAAAGTTTGCTATGACGCATCTCTAGTTTAACAAGGAAGCGTGGGTGAAATTTTGTTGTGAGTGATTTGGGAAGATACCAGCTCCAACGAATAATTCTTAACGAATTTGGAAGAACTTTGGGGCCTGAAGAAAAGATTACATTGTCAAATTCAAGATGCCTCAATTCGCGCATCTTAGAGAAGGCTTTATTACAATTCCAGTGCACCACTTCTAATTTCGGCAAACGTAAGACTATGGCTTCAATTGCGGATGTTCCCTGTAATTAAGAAAAACGGAAAAATTAATTGCACATTCAAGTTTATAATGTCGTTTTAAAATAAATGACATATATTATCTTCTAAACTTAGTATTTTAACATACGTTCCTACCGTATTGTTCATGAATACAGGAGAAATGTTGTTGGGATGCCACAAACAACTGCGTTTACCAGGCTCATCGACAGACTCTTGACGAACAATTTCCCATGCCATTTCTTGTATCAAATCATGCATCTCAACAACGTTGCTACGAAAGTGGAGTTTCTGAATAGTTATGAGAGATTTGTCAATAAGAATATCCATCCCAATAAGACTAGAAATGTCCCAGATACTGTCTAGTATTTCAATTACTTTCTCTTTAGCCTTCCCTTTATGGAAACATGCAACATGGAGAAAAATTTTCTTCTCCATCTCTTCTAGTCCATCATAACTTACTTTGAGTGAATGAAAAACTGTTGGATCAGGAATTTTCTCTAGATTATGCAGCACACTATTCCATGCATCTTGATCTCTTGAATACAAAAAAGACCCCAAAGTTTTAAGAGCTAATGGAAGGCCTTTGGCACAATGTAGGACACGCTGAGACAGTTTTAGAAAACCTTCGGCAGGCTGTTTTTTCTTAAAGGCGTGTCGACTAAAGAGCTTAAGAGCTTGTCCATTGTTTAAAACCTCAACCTTATGTCGTATCGCTATATCATGCTGAACTAGTAGACGTTCATTTCTAGTTGTGATGATAATTCTACTCCCTACACCAAACCAAGTTTTCTCTCCAACCAGTTTTTCTAGCTGATTTAATTGATCCACATCATCAAGGATGAGAAGAACCTTTTTATTCCATAAACATTTCTTAGTGAACAATATTCCCGACTCTTCATCCCAAACTTGGATAATATTTTCTACCTTCAAGATTGGGAAAAGAAGTTGTCTTTGTAGAGCAACTAGTGTACCATGTTTTGCAGAAACCTCACTCACATCAGATAGAAACGAACTAAGTTCAAAATGATGGGAAATTCTCTCAAAAACTAGCTTAGCAAGGGTTGTTTTGCCTACCCCGCCCATCCCCCATATCCCTATAAAGCGAACGTCATTTTCTTCAGGAGCTAATTGCAAATGTAATTGTTTAAGTGCAAAATCAATTCCGACTAAATTTTCTGGAGAACCTGACAACATGAATGTTGGATGCACTTTCCTCCACACACATTTGACAATATCTTTGATAAGCTCTGCTTCCGACCTATAAGGAAGAAATAAAATAACCATTAATCCATAAATACAACATCCAAGGCTGTTGCATTAAAGCAAGAACTAATCCAAGTAGGATTCTTGTTAAGACACAAGAAATTAGTTGTTCATGCATGCATTCTTACTTATAATTCTTTGAATCTAAGCCAGAGAGATTGGCAACTTTTCTTAAAGCAGCTCTCCACCGCTTCACCTTCTCTGCTTCTTCAGTAAACCTTTCTTCATGCTTAGTGAATGCTTCCGCAAATCTCCCCTTTTGGTTTTGTACATCGGAAGGATCCACGTCATAAAAGATTGGCAGAATTCTCTTGGTGTCTTCCATGCATTCAAGAATCTTTGAGAGCTCATCCAAGCACCAAGTGGAAGAAGCGTAATTTGGGGAGAGAACAATGATGGCAAGATGTGATTCTTCGATTGCCGTCAACAGCTCCGGAGAAATAGTTGCTCCTATTTCAAGGTCTTGGTCGTCCTTGAAAGTTTTAATTGTTTGCCGGTACCGCAGTTCGTTGTCTAAATGAGACATAAAACCCCTGCGAGTGTCTGCACCCCTGAAACTCTGAAAAACATCATGTTTCCATCGAGGAGGAGCCGATTCAGCCGAAAGAGATGCAGAGGCTCTTTGGGTGCTCAAGGCCATTGGAAAAGACGGTTCCTCAAAATCTGGCTTTGAACACACTCGGTAGAAACATAGAAGAAGAAGATGGTATAGTGTGATAAAATATGAGAAATTTGAGTGTATGAGAGAATGAGAGAATGAGTTTTCTGGTTTTCAACTTCTCCATTCACCTTAGCAGATTTATACAAGGAGGAACCGTATCCTCCAAGCCATTAATTACACAACTTTTCCTCCCAACCTAAGAAGGTCGGCCATAACTTGCAGCAGCAACCTCCACAAGTCCAACACACAAACGAATATTTCTTGTGTTCACACCTCCAAGTCCAACATTTATTGCTTTCACACGACCTAACAGCCTCCACAAGTCTGCAGCAGCCTCCACAAGTCAAGTATGACCCCGATGTCATTAAATGCTTTCACACCTCTAGCTAACATGGTGTTGAGGCCCAAAAAATCCAGGGTTTGGCCCAAATAAATTTCCGGCTCAGTGTTACATCTCATTAAGAAAAAACCTGGTTTGGAGAACGCGAAATTCGTCATGCACGCTTGCACGAGCCACGACCACGTGCCATGCCAATTTGCCAAATAAATATGCAATCTGTCACACTAAGAATTGAAATGAGCCTATAAAAGGCACTGACTCTACAAGCCCATACTAATTATCCCATCAAGCATCATATCCCTTTTCAAAGACGAAAAAATTCAAGCACGTCAATCGATATGCAATGCCAAGTGAAAAATCATTATTTTTACACCTAGCCACGCTACAAACTTAAGTGGGCTCAATCCATGCAAATGCTCGGGGCTTGCTGAGTGGGTTGTGGTATGGATGGTAACAAGCATTCATGAGGCCCATTGATGAGCCGAGAAATGGAAGTTTTGGGTTGCTTGAGAGCCCAAAAACTTGAGCCCATTTCTTGAGCCCAAATATGTGTGTAAGCATAAGGAGAGAAATAGGAAGCCCATTACTTTAGAAAATTGGCATATCACCCTAATAAAAATGGTCCGTCACTTTAGGAGGTTGGCCCATTCCTATAGTACACTAACCCATCACCTTAGGAAGGGCCAAATGGCCAATAAAATATTTGAAAGTCTCCAGCACATGGCTGGAGACAAAACAACAACAGAAGCCAAAAGCCACTCACGAAGGTGGACTGCTAGCAGTCTCCAGCACATGGCCAAGAAACAAACCCAAGGCAAACCACTTGAAGAACCAAAGGATATTAGCGTGCGCAGCACCCTTCAGACCAACGTTGCTCTTGCCATGAATAGGGGAGGAAAGAAAGAGATATGGTAACCAAAGATAGGAGATTGCCACTAGAACATCTGCAGGAAGGCTATAGAGCCTCCAAAAATCTTGTCTTTGAGTATTTGGACGGAGGAAAATTTCACAAAAGATGTTGAATCGAAGGAAGAGAAGAGAAATGAAGGAGAAGACTTAGCAAAATTGAAGAGAACCAACTAGGGTTTCTTGGGAAGGAGGAGCTTCCAGTGGCTATAAAAGGGGGTACCTCCTACCCATTAAACACAACCATACCCACTACTTCACCACTAGCTACAACATACATCCAGAGAGCAAGCATCATCTCTCATCCTTGAAACCCTGCAATTTCGAGCCCTATTTCTCCATCTCCTCCCATTTTCTCTTATGATATTCCAGAGCTTGACGAAACTTTCGTCAAGCTGCCGGAAATTACTCAACACAGCCATTGTTCTTCCCCCACCTCTCTCTCTTCAACGAACCCTCTTAAAATTCATTCTCCTCTACTTTGAAACCCCTGTTTCTCCTAGGAACTCACAACCCTCTCTCTCTCTTTAATGCTAAACTCATGACTGCTTTGCTTCCTCTCTCTCTTTAATGCTAAATTCATTCTCCTCTTTTTAAAATGTTTATTTTAGCACAAATTCATAAATACTTCGTCAAAAACACAATACAGATAATGAAAGTAGTGTAGGGGACATAGGAAAGGAAATAATGGAAGAGAGAGAGAAAGACAAAGAGAGATGGAAAACTACGTGTTCAATTGGAATCAAAGTCAATAAGAATGTATAACTATCATCACCATAGCACAAGCCATTAAGAGCATTTCCACCCATGGTGCCATGGCAAAGGGCAAGGGCAAGTAAGGGTAGGCACTATTCACATGAATAGTTGTGTTTCCACCCATTGTCAAGGGCAACCCAAGGGAAACCACTATTTAAATGGGATTAATTTTATGGGAGATTCACTATTATACCCAATATAGGAGCCCAAATTATAAAAATATCCTATATAAAATGGACTTTATAAACACACTCAAAGCCCATCTACATAACAAAAAGGCTTTTAACTTCTATTAAATTACAAAACTGTCATTGAAACGACCTGACCCAAATTCCACTTTGGAATCCGGGTTGAATCCTGTGCAAAACTGACACCTAGTGCCTGTGGGTCGTAAATGACCAAAATGCCCTGGAAGCGATAACACAAACTCTAGGGCCCTATCTCGTGGCTGTGCCTGGTAACTGTAGGCTGCCTACATACCCTTTCTGAGGGATCAAGCCACACGTAGTTCTTTCCTCTGTCCCGGACCTATAACTGGTTTGTTTTACTGTAACCCCCGCTCTAGGGCTGACATTTCTGGAGTATCCGGGACTCCGTTTTACGATCCGTCAAATACTATACGATCCTGGAATTACCTAGATCAACATACTTGAAAATAACTACGATCAAACGGTTCAAACATAGTGAACTCGGAAATCGCACAGTAGGCGAGATCCGTTCGGGGTTCAAACGATATCCGAATTAAGATCCGCGAAATCCTACGCGCTCGTGAGGACTAGGAGATCATTCTAGGACTGACTGTGGTCCCCATCTTACTGCCCACGCGCCGCCACACGCGCTGGCAGCGCGTGGGGCCTAAAGCGACAACGCCTCACCGAAAAAACCACCAACTCTC